CTCTTTGGATTTGAGACTTTAGTCTTTGCAAATTTACAGATCTTCTTTATGCACCAAGAGCCCCTTTAAACCTGCTTTCACGCAGCCACTGATCCAGATTGAGCAACGCAGCACTCATCATGTAGCCTAAGCTTTATCGTTGAAACAGTCTACACAAACAATCTACTTACACAGTAGGCTACATTTCTGTTGCAAACATTAAATAATAACGAAAGTATTTGGAGAAAAGTTTTGAATCCGGATATAGACTCTGATGTTGCAGCAGCCTCGATCAAAACGAGTAATTAACCTTTGGAACTAATGATACGCTTCAAATATAGATTGTATATGTTACATTATGCCAGTAGGTGGCAAACAGTGACTATTACATGTATTTGATGTCTGAATCATTCAAGAGATTTGTTCAAAAAGTCTTCCTTTTTTTTTTTTAAATGATTTTTTTAGCTACATAATGAATTCATTTAAATTAATAAATATTTTTAAATACACTCATTTATAACATTTTAGACATTTATAAATATACAATTTATAAATAAAATATTTTGTCAGAAACTGAAATTGCATGTTTTGTTTGGTTGTCTAATGTTTGTTTTCAGAATCGTGGGAGAATCATAGCATAAAAATACATAGGCTAACAAATCAGACATCTAACTTAGTACTGTTTATAGCCTATTATGTTTCATGTTACTATGTATGTTTATGAACTATGTATGTATTATGTAGTTCTGCAACCAAACGGTTGGTTCGTTCCGCGATCCCTGCCACAGCGGTAGTCTCTTCCAATTCCTTCACTGTTGTTTTATCATCGTTTCATTCAATTCCTCAACATTTTCTCAAAAGTCACTCAAAAAATGTAAAAATAAACTGACAAGAAAAACATTATACGGCAGCCATAGTTACAGTTTCTGTTACACATACACACACACACACACATTTTTATATATATATATATATATATATATAGTTAAAAACACATTTTATGTATGTATAAAAATAATATGAATACAATTAAATATTACAATTTAAAATAAATTAGTTAACTAAAATAATAATAAAATAGATTTTTTATTTTAGTATATTGTAAAAAGTTATTTATTCCTTTGATGGAAAAGCTGAATTTTGATATTTCATAAATCATTCTAATATGCTGATTTGCTGCTTATTTCTGATTATTATCAACATTGAAAATAGTTGTGCTGCTTAATATTTTTGTGGAAACCGTTTTAAATGTCTTCTGTCACTTTTGATCAATTTGAGTAAATGATGACAGAATTTTCGTTTTTGGGTGGAGTATCCCTTGAGTTCCTATTGTGCCATATTATGGATCAGTTAATATACTACAGAGTTTGTAATGGATTTGTTTTATTTTTTTGCAGTGTAT